GGTGAAATAGTCGCGAAATACCCCTGAAATACTCCGAAATAGCGCGAAATAGCCTGAAATAATCTGAAATAGGCGGGAAATAGCCGAAATGGCAGGAGAAATAACCGAAATGGTAGGAGAAATACTACGAAATATAGTCCGTACGCTACGAACCCTAGTGATTTCCCCCTCGGCCAAACCTTATCTGGGGGTGCAAACAATTACACTGTAAAGCGCCATTGAAATCCGATTGTATCACCGGATAAACTTCGATTGTAAGCTTTTATTTAAAACTACGTTCCGGCATAACACACCCATGTGCAGGTGCCAAACTAAAAAATTATCATCGGAATGTGGGACAAGAAGGACATCTTATCGTCTAATCTAACCTGTTAGTGGTTAGGCCTTCAGCGTCAAACAGAACGCTGTGGCAGACACGACAGAAAAATAATACATCAGTACTCACTACAATATAATCACACTGACCAAACGTGAGAGAAAGACACAGTGTGTGTGGTGGGGGGGGGGGCAGTGGCGGCTGAATGAGGGGGGATAGTGGCAGCGAGGCGATGCTAGCGACTCTTAGTGTAGAGCAGCCGGCCACAGCGCACATCCCGCCACCAAAGTAAGTCAGGAAACCTCTCCGTGGACCATAGCTGACTGTACTGTTCGTACCCATATCATGGTGCATCAAGACCGATTGAACGCTTGTTTTCTATTTTGTTCTAATTGCGTTTAGATATTTTCTGCACTTTTAGATGCTCATTTTCTTTCTGTATAAGGGTTACAGGATTCGTCCTCCCCCCCCCCTTCCCCCTCAAAAAAGAAAAGAAGAAAGAGAGATCTCAGTGGCAATTATTGAATTTCTACTGTAACCTCAACCTCAGTCAATGACTTCCGAGTGTATTATCTAAACATACATTCGATCTGTTTTCACGTTTAAGTAGTATCATATATCAGCATGACTTTTATTTCTGGCAGCTATTTTTATACAGTCCACTGGTCAGTCGATGCACGCTACTTATCAACGTTTCACGCTTTGGATAAGTTGCGTCCCGATATGGACTGGGTCCATTCTTAATGACTGCATTGTCAAAACTTTGTCCACGTCATTAGTGTTCCCACCTCCACCGAAATGTCGTCCGAGTCTGCCAACAGTGTTAAAGATTCAGTAGCATTTGTGATAATGACCGCGAATCGCACCTTTGTATTTTATTATGGACCGGTCTGTACCTGCCTATTTTGACAGAACGGGAAGGTCCGTCTATCGCATGGTACGGCCCTCCCGCTGACTTGGAAAACGATTCAGATCGGGTAAAGAAATTCAAGACCCATTCCGTCAATATTTCCGTTATAACTGCTGGCAGCGAAGTGTTTGACATTTAGGTGCACGCAGAAGGCTTCTTCACAGTTTGTGCTTTTGCAGCATGCTGCTTGTCACGCTGGCCGCGCTGGCCGCCCTAGCACCTTGTAGGGCGTCGCCTCTGAACGTGCTGTTTGTCAGCACCGTGTCCTCGCCCAGCCACTACATCTGGGTGAGCGCACTGGCGGGCGAGCTCCTGCGCCGTGGTCACCACATCACCGAGCTGGTTATCAGGCCACCGGCCACCCCGCACCCCAACATGACGAGCTTCGTTATGGCGGACAAGACGTTCGGGGAGGAGTATGTGAGTACCTTTCCCCGCTGCCTAGTGTGAACCGGTGTGCACTCTAAATGTAAACGAACTATTTCCCCTACATGAAAACTTTTGTGTGAGCAACCAGACCATCCAGACCGATCTTTTCCCAAAATTTGTATATTTCTTGGATAGTATTGTATACCGTTTTGGATGTGCACAGAAGCAATCCCATTTAAGGAACACCATCTTTTATACACATTAGAAGGTTTTCCTTTTTTTTCCTATTTTTAAAATCCGACATTGACAGTAGTATTAATTCCAGCTAAGAAAAAGATTTCCTGCTATAATTTTATAAACCTCTCCAGCTGAAAACATTTTCCTTTTATGCTCCTCAAATCGTAAAGTTATCAATTTTAATAGATACAGGCTAACCAAGTTAATAA